TTTGCGCTCTAACCCGCTGGAGAAAGGCCACAATTTAGTCGGTAAAGGGGGGGTGAAGAACACACGTCACGTCTCATTTGCCTTTGCGTTCTCCCGAAAACTCCGGGCCCACGACTCAGGCAACATCGCAGCTAGCTCAAAGTCTCCCCTCAACGGCGGTGACAGAATCGCAGGCCTGAAAAGCCAGTTCGGGACCCCCTCCCCAAAGCCATCTTGCCAGAATAAAAGAGTGATCTAAGGATCTTGAGTATGTGCAATGGAAGGGTCGGGATGTGCATTGAAAGGGTCCGGCCTAAATACCCTGCCTTCTTAGCACGGAATTACGAAAGCATTGGTCTGCAATTGCAGGCATCGGTGTTGCACCATGTCCCAAATGGTGTGTCACACTACCTCCACGGCCCGCAAGCCGCTGCACCGCTATACTGGTGCTGGGGATTCGGGGCAAAATTTTGCGAATATGAGATGGTCCTTTTGCAGGGGTCTGAAACAAGTCTGAAACAGGTCTGAAAAAGGGCCCAATGCCAGATCCAGGCATTCTCTCTCTCTCTCTCTCTCTATCTCTCGCTCTCTCTCTCTCTCTTTCTCTCTCTCTCTGTCTCTCTCTCTCTCTCTCTCTCTCTCTCTTGCTTGCTTCTCTTTCTTCTCTTCCAATTCTTTTCATTCTGAGATTTGTTGAAAAGCAGCTCACATCCCAAGACGCCAAGAGTTTCAAGAATTCAATAAAATCTGGGAGTCCCGTCCGAGACAAGCTGCGCAATTCCAGGCGTTTATGTAGCATGTAGTTACGAAAGCATAGGTCTGCACCGATATGGCGCCTTAGGTTGGACCTGTGCAATCTGACCTGGCTTGGCAGGAGCTAGCGCAACGCAGCTGCTAGCAATGGCTTGAATTGTGTTATGCCCTGTTTTTTTTTTACGGGGAAGGGGTCTGTCACTTAAATACCCTAATTAGTATTTCATACTGCCTCCAGAACCCGTGAGGGTGGCCCGGCCAGCCACATTAAATATCCAATTTAAACAGCCCTGAAGCCCAGGCCCGGCCCCCAAAGTCGTCACCGTAAGTATATTTTTGAGCGCTCTCCTATATATTCGAGCGGCATCTGAGTTTGTCTCCCAGTGATCGCTAACTGCTGACCCCAAAATCGGCATCCTCGACAACAAGCGTGAAATAAGTGGAACACCGCTTCCGCCTTCAACATCTGTTCATCGAGCTGCGTCTCTTCGTAGCGGGGCGCTGGCCCAGCGCCTGTCCAAACGAAGACTTGGCTAAGCCGCAAACCAATGCTACGTTTCTCGTGGCTCCTAACAAGTTGGTTCCAGGATGCTACATCAGGCGACAGTGGCTGTAATTTCTGCGTTGCCTGGGTGAGCGAAAGGGTACCAAGATACATGTAAATATTGCACCTTCTGCTACCACTCAACTTACACGCTCCTTCTTATTGTTGCGTTTTGTCCCGACTTGGCAAGACATGCGCAAGATACCGAACATGGGCCTAAGGCGGCCACACTTGCATGCCTCAGCCAGCCGCCCTACAACCAGCATCTTAAAAGCACGTCCGCACACCACGCGCAACACACTTGCCGGGCGCAGCCGCTTTTTTTGAGCCAAGCCTTCACCACTCCCGGAGCCTTCGTGAAGCCGAGTTGCTTCCAAACACGGCAAAGCCGTCGCGTGCGTAGCTCAGCACGCGCGCTCGCTGCTGCAGCGTCCCGCACACGGCCCCTCTTGGCCTTCTTCCGGCGGAGCCACCGCCTCAACTCGCAGCACATGTGCTGCGTGTGCCGCTTGCGCCATCCAAACGGACACACTTGCCGCAGTACCTTGGGGCCCGCCACTCGTTCTACATTTGCTTGGAGAAATGCGTGCAAGCGGCCCAGTCTCTCTGGGGCGCTGTTGATGGCAGCCTGGGAGTCGGGCTTCCCCCGAAATCCAGTGGCTTTCATCAGGATTGGACGTGCGCCGTGACCAACGATGTCCGAGTCCAGCTGCCCCTTCCTGTGTGACAAGTACACGTCGTGTAGGACAAGTTTGCGAAGGAATGGGCTATGGACGTGGAGAATTTGCTCCAGGGACTCATGAGTCAGCCCGGCAGCGATGCACTTCTCCCACGCTCCCGCGACGGTCAAGTCGTGGAACAGGTCCGCTGCTTCCACTTTCATTGAAAACTTGCCGCGACCACCCTTGCAGGTTCGATGGTGCGCCTGCCATTGTTGCAGACGCGCCCTCGGGCACGCCACATCGAAGGTTAGGGCGCCGATGGCCTTGCGCACACTTGCCCGGGTGTAGTGGCGGGCCTGCATCCCACGCCAGTCAAAGCCGAAGGCATCCAGCGAGCCGTCGAAGTTCGCCACCAATCGAACGAACCAGCTCTTGGCGAGCGCAGCAGCCACGCTGCATCCAACACAGGCCGCCAGAAGTGCCAAGGAAGCTGAGTCCAAATCCGGCTCCACCTCGCAGTGTTGGTGGGCGGGCCACTCCTTGTGCCGGGAGATCACAGACCCTAACGAAGCTTCCTGCGCTTTGGCCGCTGCCTCACCCTCGGTCTTGGCCAGCGTGCAGAGGATGAGGGCTGAAGCCATGTTCAAGAGCTGCTGTTTCACGTGCGACGCAGTTCCGCCCGGCTGGCCGGGGCTGCCAGGAAGGCCCGGCTTGCCGGACTTTCCCGGCTTACCCGGCTGCCCTGGCATGATAGAGCACTGTTCGCCCTTCGAAGTAACGCTTGAGCCGCCAACAGGAGCTGCATCATCATCATCATCGTCCTAAGAACCTCAGCATCACAACTTCACGATGGTTCAGGAGCAACTGCGCGGACACAAACCATGCCAGCCAATTAGTAAACCACAAATACAGCGGGTCAGCAAACGTGACTTCCTGCCCCCCCCAAAAAAGGTGAGAAACCCTACTTGCCGTCAGCCCCTGTAGGCCCGCTTTAGCAGCTCTCGACTCGAGCCTCCCAGAAAAGGCTTCGAGCGGCTGCAGCCCGCGAAGCAACATGGGACCGGCGACAGCCTGGCGAGTCGAGGTTGCTGCGAACCAGTCGGATCGCGTTCGTTTCTCCGATCTTGCCATGAACACAGAATTTAACTAACATTGAAGGGGCATGAAACAAAGCCAAGCTTTCCAAAAAAAAAGCCCCCATCGGGTTTCGCAGCTGACGTGGCAATTGAGTGCCTCATGAAGCACAAACCTTCGCACAGCGTCAATCAATCAGGTGCGCAGACTGGGCGCCCCTGGCAAGCAAGAGGGCTGCACGCTCTAAATCATGTACCCTCAGAGTGTGGGTTCGCAAGCTTTGGCTACGTTAACATGGGCACCAAGGAAACAAAGCTTGGCCTGCCTTTTGTGGAGTCCAGCATCAGTTCTTCTGGGCACGTCATGGCAGGCCAGAACTCTGCATCAAGGCGTACACAATGCTGCAAATGAAGCAACGCGTTGAACTGTTGAATTCTGTGGCTGCTATGAGTCGCTATAAGTCGCCGCGTGTTCTGCGCACGGCCCTGCCCAAGTTGACAAGCGCCCCCCCCTTCCCCACGTGAGGCGTTTCGGCTTGAGTGGAACACAGACGTGTCGCAGCTCTTCCTAGCAGCTCAATGAGCCCAGGCTGTCCGGATTGCGCATGAAGTTGAATTGACTTTGCAACAAGACGCAGTGCCATTGAAAGCAGCAAACGTAGAGTGAGCATAATCTTCAGATCCCGCCAGAAAACATATCACGTGGCAAGGTTGATGACAAAGCAGTCCCCCGGCCGCGCTCTTCCATGTATGGCTCACGACAGTGACAATCATGCCTGAAGTATCGGTTTCTGCAGCCCGTTATCGACATAACAACTGCCACGCGGCCATGGCCAAACCTAAATTTCCACTTGCCGCTCTCGCGTATATTTCCAATGAAGCAAAGTTGCGCAAAAGCCGGAAAGATCTGGGGCTTGACAGAATGTTGACCAAGACAGGGAACCAAAAGGTGCACAGGTGGCTTTTTGGGTCAAGCCACCGGAAGCTCGCACATCCAGGCCGCCACTTGTCGGTCCAACGCACCCTCGAACGTAACAAAGGTGCCAGCATGTGCCCGAAATTGGGTGACGTCCTCCACAACCCTGCAAAATCCAAGGCGAAGGTACCAGGCAGAATTGAGGATGGTCACGTGTGTCACTCGTTGTGGGAGGGAACCAGGGACGAATCAGAACGACGTTCGATCTCCAGTCAAGCCACAGGCGCGGAAAACCGCGAAACATAAAAACAAAACGCGCCCAGTAAATGTGGCTGTGTCCAGAGACGCCCGTAGAGACAGCAGACGCAAGCCAACACGAACATTCGCATCCAGACAATTCATGTGCGGGGTAGCTTTGGGCCCTGTGGATTCCTGAGCTGAGCTTCTTGTTTTTTTGTCGGGGATTCCCATCGGCAAAAGTGAGAACACTTACTTTAGTCATGGAGGTCAAAGGTTGTGCAAGTAATGCGGAAAACAAAAAAACAACGCCGTTTTTTGGTTTCAAAGGTCTGCCCGCCCAAAGTGCGCAAAGGGGCTGCAAGGGACCTTGCCAGCGGAGTGCAAAGCAGGAAAAAAGAGTTTTTCAAGGTTTGACCGCCCAAAGTGTGCAAAGGGTTGCCCGTGACAAGTAGAAAAACGCAAAGACACGAGCTTTCAAAGGTCTACCCGCTCGAGCCGCGCAGAGGGTTCAGAGGGTTCAGCAACCACGCGAGCCGCACGGAAAGCTGGCCGCAAAATGGACGCTAAGCGTCCATGGCACACCCCCCCCCCCCCGAGAAGCTGCTTTTTCCAATGTCCACAATGCCAAGTACTGTCCAAAACGCAGCGCTTGGGGGCAACTTGAGGGTGGTGCCGGTTTGAGGCCTCCAGGTGACCCTGAACTGAACAGTTTTAATGGAGGAGAGGGGCTTCCAGCTTTATCTGTGGGGTTTCCGGCTGTATTTGGCGTTCCTTTGTTTTCCGGTGGTTTCCAGCAAGCAGCTGCCACTTTTTGCTGCACCTCAGCCACGGAGGTGTGCACTCCTTCCTCTCCGCTGCGGATGTCAAGGCCATAGGCGGGGTGCGTGAGCTCAGAACATCGACCTTCCTTCTGAGGTATCCCTGAGTTAGTGATTTGGATTTGAACCCTTGGTTCTTGCAGAGGGTACATTACATGGAAAACCACCCTTGAACCATCAAGCCCAATTATGGAGGGAAACTGATCCTCTCTTCGGCCGTTTCGTTGGGGGGGCCTTTGCTTTTTTGCCAGATCATTCCGGAGGTTTGAATAGCGAATCCACCAACTTGGATTCCAAGGATTCCAATTGTAGCACTTGAGCCAAGGGCATCAAAAGGCCTGAGGCGATTTTTTTGATTTCGTGGTATCCCGCAACTATGAATTAAATATGAGGCGGGAAATCATGTTAGAATCTGCTGCGACTCGCGCAGGGGATTGCTTGGTTCGGCTGGGCAACGCGTCTTGGAAACCGGAGGATCCTATTTTTTTCTCGCCTGCGATCGGTTGGCTTAACCATTCTGATGTGCAGCACACCTTGGGCAGGCTTTTGAATGGTCTGCTCTCCCCGCTCTCAAGTTTCTTCCTGCATCAAGATACGGCGGATTCCTATGTGGCCTATGTGGCAAGTCGCGCACAAGGGCAACTTGGAAGACCTTTGTGCCACGATGTCTGGTTGGTTTACTCTGTAAAATGTAGCATTGCAATGGCTGGTTTGCTTGCTCTTTTCACATGGGCGTGTCTTCCCTTGCTCCGCCCCCCCCCCCCCCCCGCGGGTTGGTTTCCCTTTGGCTTAAATGTAAAACAAGCCCCAACAGGGTACTGAGCCAAATAACATGTTGTGCATGCATATATGGCTGTGTTTGTTTTCATTTTGGGGCCCGCCCCTTGGGTTAGTTGTTCACAAAAGCCACACAAGCCAACATTTCTGGCAAGCCCCTCCTGTTTGTTAGACAAACCCATAAATTGCATGCCCATGTGCATGTACATCCATTAGTGTATATATATATATACATAAGCAGTATGTCTATGAATAGATTATATATATGTATACATATATATATATATACACGTCTATGAATGTTCAATATACACGTGTATGTACATGTTTCGTTTCAGATTCCTTTTGTTTGACTCAGATTGTGGATATTGGTGCCCATTGGGCCGCGATCGCTTGCTCAAGCTTCAGGCGCGTCCAACGCAATGAACCTTGCGTACCACGGGAAGGCAACGTGGATCGTGGTCGCCGGTTTCTTGTCGGGGAGAATAACAGGAACGGACAAGACGACTGTTTCTGCGGGTTGTCAAAGTCAGCTGGGGGGTTGTTTGCCTTCAACCTACCACTTGGGTAGCTCCAAGCTGTCCAGTGGTGTTCAGATCTACCGTTTGTTTGTGTACTTACGTTGTGCGATGGTCGAAGACCCTGTCGCATTGGCTAGTACATGGGTCATCAAACTCTCAATACAGGTTGTACCAGAGCACACTGATACTTGACACTGATTAAGTAAGCCTGTGTCTATTGACTCCTTTGGTATGAGACAGTCTTGACTGCTATTGGGTTGGATCTTCAGACTTTAACTTTTTTGGAAATAAAGGTGTTTTCCACTAAAACCCCCAAAAGGTTAAACTGTTTTGCAGTGGTGTCAACAGCAACCAAGCAGTGAATGGAAAAACTATTTGCACCAATTAGTAGTCCAATGGGTTTCACCATCCAAGCTGGTGCGGGGGTTTGTCCATCCCCTTCACGGCCAGTGAGGTGGAAGCATTGATCTTGGTTGCCGTGAGTTGGATGATTGCTATATTTTGTCCAGCTACGGGCTTTCTTGATGATGTGTGGCAGTCACAAGAAGCGGAGGGTTCAGGGTCGACGTCCTGGTTGCTCTTTGGTGCGATGAGTTAACTTACGAAAATTGTGGATCACTGTTTTGCAGGGCGGGGTCACTGCAGGATTTGCATTCAGCTTGTCATTCTGCATTAATCTAGTCCGTGAGTTTGGGATCAACTGACTCAACCGCCCAGTCTATTTAGCAGGCTGACGCCTGATGCCGCCGACCCCCGTAACAGCATCACACACGTTGGAGAAACTCTGGCCCTTCTCCGTCTCTCAGCAGGATTGGCGCCAAGGTCTCGCATGCTGGGGATGCGGGGGCTGCCTTTTTGGTCTTCCATCGTTGTAGAAAAAGGCAGCTTTTGCATCCCCAGCTTCACCAGCATCATCTGCACGTGCCCGGGGTGATGCTTTGCATGCTGGGGATGCAGGAGCTGCCTTTTTGGTCTTCGAATGTTGGGAAAAAAGGCAGCTTTTGCATCCCCCGCTTCACCAGCATCATCCTGCAGGTGCCCGGGGTGATGCTTTGCTTGCTGGGGATGCAGGAACTGCCTTTTTGGTCTTCGAATGTCGGGAAAAAAGGCAGCTTTTGCATCCCCCGCTTCACCGGCATCATCCTGCAGGTGTCTGGGGTGATGCCTGGCATGCTGGGGATGCGGAAGCTGCTTTTTGGTCTGGGACGGAGAAGAGCCGGGCTTTCTCTCAGCGATAACAAGGGCCGGATTTTTCTCCAACGTCTGGCTTCATGCGGGGATGATGAGGCTGATGATGATGCTGGATGACGAGGCCGATGATGGCGCCGCTGATGATAATGATGATGAGGAGGATGACGATGATGCTGCTCAACCTGATGAATGAGGACGATGCATCATCATCATCGTCATCATCCACCATGTCGTCATCATCTCTTCCGTCCTCTTCCCGTAGTCTTCCCGCAGTCTTCCGTCATCTTCCCGTGGTCTTCCGTCATCTTCCCATCATCTCCCGTAGTCTTCCGTCATCTTCCCGCAGTCTTCCGTCATCTTCCCGCAGTCCCGTAGTCTTCCGTCATCTTCCCGCAGTCTTCTGTCAGCTTCCCGTCATCTTCACGTAGTCTTCCGTCATCTTCCGGTAGTCTTCCGTCATCTTCCCGTAGTCCTCCGTCATCTTCCCGCAGTCTCTTCCCGTAGTCTTCCGGCATCTTCCCGCAGTCTTCCGTCATCTTCCCGTCAGCTTCCCGTACTCTTCCGTCATCTTCCCGTAGTCTTCTGTCAACTTCCCGTCATCTTTTTCGTAGTCTTCCGTCATCTTCCTAGTCTTTCATCATCATCATCCATCCTCACGCTTAGAGGTGAAAGTTAGAGGTTAGGGTTAGAGGTTAGGGTTAGAGGTTAGGGTTAGAGGTTAAGGTCAGAGGTTAGGGTTAGAGGTTAAGGTTAGAGGTTAGGGTTAAAGGTTAGGGTTAGAGGTTAGGGTTAGAGGTTAGGGTTAGAGGCTAGGGTTAGAGGTTAGGGTTAGAGGTTAGGGTTAGAGTAGGGTCATCTTCCGGTAGTCTTCCGTCATCTTCCCGTCATCTTCCCGTAGTCTTCCGTCATCTTCCCGTAGTCTTCCGTCATCTTCCCGTAGTCTTCCGTCAGCTTCCGTCGTCTTCCCGTAGTCTTCCGTCATCTTCGTGCAGTCCCGCACTCTTCTAGTCTTCCGTTATCTTCTCCTTGTCTTCCGTCGTCTCCCGCAGTCTTCCGTCATCTTCCCGTATCTTCTGTCAGCTTCCCGTCATCTTCCCGTAGTCTTCCGTCATCTTCCTAGTCTTTCGTCATCATTATTCATCCTCACGGTTAAAGGTTAAAGTTAGAGGTTAGGGTTAGAGGTTAGGGTTAGAGGTTAGGGTTAGAGGTTAGGGTTAGAGGTTAGGGTTAGAGGTTAGGGTTAGAGGTTAGGGTTAGAGGTTAGGGTTAGAGGTTAGGGTTAGAGGTTAGGGTTAGAGGTTAGGGTTAGAGGTTAGGGTTAGAGGTTAGGGTTAGAGGTTAGGGTTAGAGGTTAGGGTTAGAGGTTAGGGTTAGAGGTTAGGGTTAGAGGTTAGGGTTAGAGGTTAGGGTTAGAGGTTAGGGTTAGAGGTTAGGCGTGTCAAAAATCTGCTGCGGGACCCCCCCTCCCCCCCTCAGACTCCCCCTAACCACCACTTAGAACACGCCTCGCCCCTTTGCAGAGACTAACTTTGCTTTTGCAAAGGGGTCGGCGGATTTGCCCAACCACCTTGGATGAACATACATACCTTTTGCAGGGTGAAAACTAAGCACCAAGTTGTTTGCTTTGTTTCAGGGGGGCTTGGGAAGCAGATACTTCGAGAATTAGGCCAGCCATGACCTGTTTGGTGTGGATCCTGATATCGTTGAGCTTTAGAACACAGGAAGCCACCGACAGACCTTATTGTTTAGGGGTGGGATCCTTCTTTCCAGACGCCAAACAAGCAAATATGGGAGTTTTGTTTTTGGTTGCACCCTCATGTTGGTTGATTGTGAAGGGAAAGCAACAGGACAACCAGCCATTTTGCTGGGTCCCCGCAAAATACATGCTCATATGGCCATATGGGAGAAACAACTGGCTGTTCAAGGAACGGTGCTTGAACACTTTGCGACATCGAGTCATGCTTGGCTCTCATTTTCACGCACCTTTTGTGTGGGTATTTTATGCAGCTCGGTGCCCTTGTGAGACTGCTTTACAGACCAATCAAAAGGAAAGGCGAAGCCACGTTGGGTCCCGGTCCCCCTATGGTCATTTATTTTGGTTTAAAAAGACCCCAGAACCCCTGCACTCTACCCTTTTTGCAACAATCATGGAAGTGGACAGGGCACTTCCTCAACAGGAAGGTAATCTCCAGATCCCTCCTGGCAGCTTTCATGATTGTTGGAAAGAAGGTATAAATCGTTAGAAAGGGGTTGTGGTGTCTAGTTAAAAGCAACAAAAGATGCACATACTGTGGATGGACGAAATCCTCCACCACCGAAGAAATGATTCGATTCCCCTGTAAATACCACACAAACCATGGTTTCAACCATGGTTTCCAAGTGGTGCGAAATGGATTTCGCCCATCCACAGGATGTTGGAGGGCAGGCGCTCTTTTCGTATTTCGACAGACCTACCCCTTCTCTCCGTAGATCTTCGCCGACGCGGCGGAGAAGCCGGAACACCTGGGGCAATTTCTGGGCCTGGTGCTGGCAGACAGCTTCGAGGAGCCTTTCCAGAGACCCAGCGCCCAAAATCTCCTGGGTTCTGTTGGCTTTCCATTTCTCTTCTTGGAAGCCTCAAAGGTGGCGATCGTTTCAATGGACAGTAAATGTGCACTACACAATATTCCTTTGGAGAGGACATGGGGGGGCCTAATTACCCAATATCCCATATTTTCTCAAGTACAACGCGTGGCCTTTCCAATTTAACCATCCGGAAGTCGTAATTTTGTGTGGCTCTTTTGATGAAATTGCGGGACACTTAAGTGAAGCATTGGGGAATAGCCAAGTACCTCATGAGTAACGCCTGGAAAGCACCAATGCCTGGCTTATTGGAGGATTCTCCAGGTCTCTCTTCAGGGCTTTTTCTACGCAGTGTATTGATGTGCATGTTTCGAAGTTGCGCTTGTGCAATCTGGCATGTGGAGCATGGGGTAGACCGATTCGAGTTTCTCGTTGATTCATTTGTCAGCTGTTTCCAGACTGGCCTTTGTTTATTGTTGGAACTGCGACAGCTTTGGAGCAAAGGTTGACACTGTGGAGTGGAATTCAAATCATCGGGCCTTTTGTTGGTTGCACGCAACATAGGCTTCCACACGGAGCGTCAATCATGTCCCGAAGCCTCACTAGGTGGGTTTGCAAGAAAAGCCACAGCAAAGCAGCCATCGAGCGTCTCGTTCTGAGAATACAGATTTGTGAACCGCTAATGTCCTGATGGCGCTGCCACACCCAATATCCTGGCAGAAACCTTTCTTCGAACACTGATGTTTTGTAGCTTTCCGGATTCGCACTGCACGTGGCTTCAGGGCACAGTATGCATCAGGTCGCCCCTGTCATGTTAAAGCTGTGGCCCGTATAGATCCGGATTCAGAGGCAAGCGGAGCCAAGGGAAGATCATGGCCTTTGGTGGGCCTTAGTGATTCTCCATGGCCCTTTGTAACTCTAATGGTCACCAGGGATTATCAGGCTGCTATGGCTTTCCTATGTTTGATTCTTGGTTGTTTCGTCCTTGTTTTGACATCTCTGTGTTTTGCGACCAATAAAGTTACGAAGGCGGCGATCAAACAAAAACAATATTTGCAACAAACAAGAGGCCTCGTTTTTGTATGAAGCAGCCAGCAAGGGCATCTGGATTTTCCAACACCTCTGGTACAACAACTTGGACAAATCATGACAGGCTCCCCTATGGAGGGGTCCTTCACTGGTTTGTTGTTTTTGAACTTGGAAAATAGTTTGTACGATAATGAAGGCATGTTCTTTGGCCGATATCAACAATTCTTTGCGCGTGCCACCCAACAATGCGCCACACTGCTCAAGACCGGTTGCCGCAGGCTGCCCGCACCGGCGTCCGCCTGGTGCATGTTGTATCTCGGCACAGACAGCCGGAAGCTGGGCGGAGGGCAGAACAGAGGACTTCACCACCAGCAGGAAGCCGGGTTCAATGGCAATTTGGCCATGGGTCAAAACCCCGTACCCAGTGAACATCCCAATCCCCACTAAGATAGGCAAAAATGGGCGCAACTACCCCGAAATGGTACCTTTGGTTTTGACCCACCGAGTTTACATAAAAGGTAACGGGCTTACCATGAGGGCAGTGGTTGGGGGTGGCAAAAGCCATCTTGGAACCTTGTTGTCGAAACACATCATGATGCCAAGGGCTAGTGGATTTTTTCGTTGCATTGGATTGTGGATTATGATGGGGGTGCCCTCCCTTTTAAGGATTGTCAATGAGTCAAGGGTTATCGGAAGCGGTTCACTTTGCGACCATCATGAATACAATCCCTTAGTATTGAATTGCGACAAGTGACAAGCATGATACTGTGGATGGTTGCGAAATCCATTTCGCACCACTTTGAAACCATGGTTGAACCCATAACGTTTGTTGGTATTTACGTTGGGGAATCAAATCATTCGCTTGGGTGTTTGAACGGTGCGAGAAGCGGATTTCGCAACCATCCACATGAATTATCGAAAAAAGCCATGGCCATGAGGCTTGATCATCTCCAAAGGGGTGGGGGATGGCTCTGAGGACAAGGTTCTCGAAGTAACTATGGGGGTAGTTTCCCAAACATTCACACGGTATTTGGCTGGTGGCTGTAGTGAACTCCTCTATAGTTTGCTCAAAGCAATTAATTATTTTGTTTGGTTACGACAGAGTCTTTTCCTTGGTTTGCGGGAGCTCATAGGTTTGGATTGGCCAAACCCACCATGTTCAGGCCAGAAGTAGCCACGGTTTGAAGGCGCCTGATAGCTTCAAATCAGAATGGACGTATCAGCCCGGCTCAAAAGACAGACTGTCTTGGAAGCAGTTGAGCCTTTCAACATGCAAATTCTTGGAACCCCTCGCAGAGAAATGGCATGAGGCATGGTTTTTTTTGTAAGCAGACCTCAACTTTGGCGGCCCAAAGTAACAACTTTGGCCCAAACCGTAGCAGTGTAAGTCGCCTGGCTCAACGCGAGGTCTTGATTACGGCGCGTGTCATGTAGCCTCTGTTGAAGCATGTAGGGTTGAAACGGGCGCATGTTGACTTACCCGCTCCTATGCTACCAACTCAGCTTTAGCACAAATCAGGGGCCCTTATACTGTCCGTGTTGAACGGATGAGACAAAAATATAGCTGCGACCCCTTTTGGGTTTTCTGGGTTTCCATCATTTTTCTTTTGACCCAACAAAGACGTCAACTTTCTTATTTTGGGTTTCATCCATTTGTGTTTTTGAACGAACAAAGCCTAAGTTCTGCGGGCCAACGTGCCTCAGGAGTACGGCGAGGAGGTTGAGGCTACCGTGTCCACAGCAGATGGCGTGCTGAAGGGCTCAGTGCAGGACTCCCCGGCCGCGAACTTCCCACGCCTCCAAACACATGCGGATGGTGGCGAAATCCATTTCGCAAACGAAGCCATGGTTGAAACCACAACGTTGGACGGTATTGACGTTGGGGCATCGGATCATTCCACGGTTTCTTAGTTGCGGGATTTTGTTCATCCACAGTATGGCGACGAGTTTGAAATGGAAACCATGTCAAAAGTGATTGGTGGATGTAAACCCCCACCTGAATGATGTTCTTAGGGTTCCTCAGTAATACACGCCCAACTCTTTTCATGCCAGACCGTTTGCAACAGTTTTCCCGAGGTGTCCAAAGCCCCAAGGTTAGCTCGAACAGGGCGACAGGTTTGGAGAGGGTCGGCGGGAGGTTTCGCTCGGAGAAAGTTCCTGCAGAATTCCTCTTCAAGGGGATGATGAAAGCAGATTGTGCGCAATCTACTTTCAGCCCTGTAGAAATCTTGTTCCCATCTTGGGGGGCGACACCCCAGGCAATCAGCCCTGGGATAATTATTGGTTCCCTTTCTTTGGGGACGGCCGAGGAAAAACCAACGTCTGCGTTCAGCCCACGGTAGGCATCCCCGCATCGCCCGTGCGCGTCGCCAGGAGCGCCATGGCGTTTTGAGCATCGGGACGCACACCCCGGGCACCAAGTCCCTGCAAGGCCTGGGGTTGCAACTCTCCCTGGCCCAGAAACCCAACGGTGAAGTGATCAACCATGTGAATCCCAGTTCCGTGGCACCAACAAAAAGTGTCTTTTTTTTGTCCACAACCATAGCTATGGAGGCCACAAGTCAAACCCGGATACCAGCCCACAAACACGGAATCTATGGCTTCCACTGGCGCTCCCTCAGCACATACCCTTCAATTTGAGGTTGACTACATATGGACAACAGTCTGATAATTTGTTTAGGGCACGGGCCAAGTCAAAGGGTCAACAAAAGCCTGCCATTTAGATGCGGATGCTTCCCCAAGACTTCAAGAAGCTTAACGGACCATGTCTGTCTGCTATTGTTGAAGTGATTGTCCCTTCCCGGCACACGCGGCAGCCAGGCAGCCATGTTTGTGAGCAAGCGTAGTTGAGCATGGTTTTGGGTAGACGTGTTGCATTTTACGTATGCATCATGGGTCCTGCATTGCCGCGGTTCATTTTTACCTTGAGTTGGCAGTTGCAGACAGACCGGTCTTCACTGAGAAGCTTTGCCAATACCGAAGTGTAGCAAGTGATGCAGATTGCAAGTACCACTTGGTTGTCATTTCAGCACCTGGCTTAATCGCGCTCGGATTAATTCGAATACAACGCAGGATCAGCGGGCTCTTCGCAAGAAAGGAACACCTCAGAATCTCATTAATGGCTTATAGTACGGTCTTCCAGAATTGATGCCACACGCGAATGCCCTCAGGCAAGATCTCCTCTGCTGGGCAGAAGCATTTCTATCTCGAGCCGCAGACCACCTATGCTTACACCGACTGCAATGGTGGTGCCTTGCATGTCGGTTCGTTGCCTGGAAGCGAGTGCATGTACCTGTCGCCTACGTGAAGCACGTGTCACTATCCCTATCGTGATGCCCGCGTTTAGTGCTCTTGTAGTACTATTGCACTTCCCCAAGTGGGTAGACCGGGTAGACCCACAAACGCAGCTTCCAAGCTGTAACACGATGTCTTGCATTTGGATCATGGTTCGGCTGCTTGATTGATGTGCTTCACTAGTTGTCTGGCCTTGCATGCCCGTAGCAGGCCGATTTCTACTTGAACCCTGAGCGCCAGAAAATGGTAGGCGACCGGTTCAACGTGTGCAAATAAAAAGATTCCAGCTCTCTCTGGACACTCATGTTGTCGAACCCGATTTCGGAAGCCTTTCAATAGAACCCACCCAACGAATCGATCACTCGACTCGATCCGGTTCCCGTTTTTTGTTTGTTTTTGCTTTCCGAGGGCTCATCGTGAACTCCTCATGCCAAGTGCTGGACTTGGCGCAGACGCAACTGGCAAAGACGCTGCATATGCCCATGAGCAGCTCGGCCCTGCCAGCTCGGCCTTCGGAGATCCGCTCGGATTGCATCCCGCTCGGACGGCCTTTTTCGGGGCAGCATCACTTGGCGTTGCTAAAACTGCGAACCCTGCCAGCACCCCCCCCCCCCCCTCCCCCCAACATCTTTGCTGGCAAAAACGATGGTGAAGACTTATATCCTTCCAGCTGCCCCCAACCACTGCTTTTTTGGGCAGTTGGGATTTTGGACATGGACAAGTTGCTGTTGGGGGGCGCTGGTTTGTGGTTGAACGTTGACCAAGACTTGGTGTTTCTACACTCGCGAGTTAACAGCTGGCTCCAATGCATAGAACCTGAAGGGCATCCCTCGAAAGACCTTATGCGGCCAGGGCCTTGTTATTTGGGAGGGAAATTATATGTTTTGGAATTTTAGTGGACTCCGCGACTGTAACAAACGATCCTTACTGTGGGGGGCGCTTTGAAACCATGGGAAACCACGGTTGGCTGGTAGTTGAACATCATCATTCCAGGTTTGCTTAGGTGGTGCAGGATTTAGTCCATCCACAGTATAGCTCGATTATACCCCCCCCCAAAAACGGGGCCTGCCTTCGTGCTCACCCCCATTCCCATTGATGCTTTTGAACAGCTTGGCTGGCAATGTGGCTCGTCTTCTTTTGTGACTTGCTAGCCCTTCGTTGGAGGTTTTCAAGGGACACCACAAGGGAAGCCAACCATTTGTGGGGGAAAAACGGACGCGCCACCTATTTGCCAACCCAAGTTCTTAGGCCAGGCCGACGCACCTTTAATGGTCTGCCACTAGGGTTTCATACTCACGGGGTTCACATGGATTGGTGAAGCAAGACATACATGCTACCCAGGTGTGCATTCCGGTGCCGGTTTAGGGACCCCCTCCATGAGTGCAGAACCCCTCGATGAGTTCCCTGCGCACGGGAAAATGCAAGCGCAGGCTGCCTCCCTGTTTCGAAGTTCCTTTTGCACGGCCAAACGGACGCCTGGCCACTTGCGAGAAATCTCCTTGGCGCGCGGTCAGGAAACCTGCCATACCCGCGGCCCAGGCAAAATCAACGTGCAGAACCAACGTCTGGGCGGCGCCTACGGGGGCAAGGCAGGGGCACGTTCTTGGAATTGGTTTGGACATGTCCAGAGACCGCCTCTCAACTAAGGTCGGCTCCGAGACTTACAACACAAATCATGATTCGCCAAATTTCAAACAACTAGATGGACCCTCGGGTTTGGCCAATAGAGATTTTATACTTTCAGCTGCCTTGTTTTTACGGGAGCACCTGCGTTTCCTCGGGTCAACTTGTGGGGCTTTGCCTTCTACTCGATTGTTTGGTGGTAGAGCACATTTAAATCTTTGCATTGACCAAGTTCCCTTGGAGAAACATCAAAAGGACGATGATTCAATCACACAAGTTGCAGCCATGTATGAACTTTACGGGTTTGTCTTAGCTAGCCATGTGCTATCGCTTCATTGTCGAGCCCGCAATCGCCATGATTTCATGTGTTCCTGTCTGTTGCAAATTGTTGTGAACTGGTTTGAAGTTTGGTTGTAACATTTGCCCATGTTTAACTCCCTTACCCAACACCGACCTTTTGACCTTCTTTTTTTTCCCCAACAGCTGAAAGCTTTGGGGTCGCCCAGATAGGCTCCGGGGTGGTCCGGGGCGGCCCTGAGGTAAGGTTCCACGAGGGTTCCACCAGGGTTCCACCAGGGTTCCACGAGGTTCTGCGAGGGCTGCGGGGCGGTGCGAGGTTCCGTAAGCAGCAACATTTGTGTAGGCAGTTTGTTTTAGCTCACCTCTAGATTTGTGCCGGCCCTGCGTTTGGGGCAGCCAACCAGTTCCGATTCGCAGGCCATGCTCTTTGCCCCTGGCTGCCTTGCGGTGTGCATCGCAGTGCTCAAGACCAAGCGTCCAGTGCTGCTGCAGATGGATAGGACGGGGTTGCGACAACATGGGTTTCAAGAATATCCGGTGGCTTGGTCACAAGTCCTAGTTCTAGTAGTTCCTCTTAACATGAATAGGACCAAAGCACAATAAAACAATCCAAATGTCCAGTAGTCCTTTGCTTGTTTTGGAACATGGCGGAGCTCACTCCTTTCTCCACTGGGGGACTTGGGACATGTTCCAAAATGCCCTCGAGAAAGGCAAGTTTGTATGTTGACTGTGGCTCATTTGCGTCTGAGTCTTGGTTCGCCTCGCTGGAGACCCATGCCTGGAACCGAGTGCACAAACGAATTGCTTGAATCGAAGCTGATCACTTGGGCAACTGGAAGTTCCAGTGTCAGGGTCTCTCCCAAGATCGAAGCATAGGACCGGTGGATCTTGCACCGGAGAAGTGGCAGCCCACCATCCCAGCAGCAAGGGTTGCTTCCATTTGGTTAAGAATATGTGTTTTTCCCCTGTTGATTCAAACGGGAATCTATCACAACTGGAAATATGTTCATTTGTGCCAGGGGGCTGAAGCAAATGGAGGGTTGTGTATCTGTATAATATGTGTATAATATATATATATATATATCTCAGCACAGAGCCCACCGCCCTGTACCCCTGGCTGACATTCCCCAGGCGTTCCAATTCGAACTTCCGCCGTGTTGCCACGGGACCTGACGCCGAGCACGGCCAGTTTCAATGGGCCCCATTGCGGCCACAGCCACGACCCGAACAGAGGGGCAGTTTGCAGAGGGATGTTAGGACTGCAACTTCCTGCCAACTAAAAAGAATGTTGGGTTTTCCGAAAAATCCGCTAAAAGGAGAACTTGTAGCAGGGGAGCAGAAAGCAACCGAGCTAGTCTTGGTTGGACACCTTCACCTCAAAGGCCCCTTCCGACAAGGGCTTCTGCGACTCAAAAGGGGGCCCTTCATCGAAGCAAGCCAAAGAGCGTCCCCTTTTTCCGCGCGCCCAAAGGTGGCACCCTTTTTTGGGTTCCTTTACGGCGGCACAAGGTGTTCCTTGATTCAAGAATGACAATTTGTGAGATGGTTCCATGCTGATCAAACAGGCCCAACACACGTTGCATTTCATTTAACAGTTGCGGTCTCACGCTTAACCCCCCATGGTTTCCTTGACATCACTCATCGGAACTCATCCGGAGAGGAAGACTTTGCATTCGCTGTATCAGAATTTGAACTTGAACCCCGAAAAATGGGTTGGCCTTGTGGCCTCCCTTTAAACCAGGGTGATTAGGGTATCCCTCAACAAAAACTCAGACGTATGTGCGTATATATATATATATATTATGGTGACTCCCCCCCCATGATCCGCGCCCGCCCAAAGTGTGGAGGCAACACAACACTGTAAAATACAGTGTTTTCTATGCATTTTAGACATGTTTGGCCTGATCAAATTCTGACCCGATTCTGATCAGGGTTTGGTGAGGCCTAAGATGAAAGAGGCTGCATTCTTTATATGGCATGCGATGAAGCAGGCAATCTGCATTGTTTAGCAGATGTGTTTTCTATATAAAGATTGATTACTGCTAGATGGGTTTCAGATGAAGCGCACCATGTTCCATGGACATGGTCCAGGTGCTGTTTGCTAGCCCCATGGTTTTTGTTTGTCATTGTAAAATCCACAAAGCTGTAAACCCACCATAAGGTTTGTGACGTATTTAGATGGCCCACGCTCCCATCGGTGCCATCGAAAGGACCGCGGACTTTCAGGCCTTTGGCGCGCGTGCGCCCTTCGACGCATCCTGGGACTGCAGCGATGTGGATGCATTGAGGGGGGTTGACGGGTGCGGACGATAAATTTGTGGGAAATCTACTTGGATGACGTCAGGGAGGCAGGTTCCAACGATAGCTGTACCCGGGATAACGCGGAGTAGTTCCCTCTAAAAATGGTTGATTGGGGGAGGGGATTCCAAGATCCGACTGGCAGAACGGTCGCATTTGACCCTACCTCAATCTCTGTCGGCTGTGACCCTACCAACGAAACTTAACTAAGCCCTGAAGACCCTAAACCAAGCCCTGAAGCTGGCCGTGTCGACAGTTTATACCTTCATTCTCCCGTCTGGAGAAATGGAATTGGGCACCTTCCCAAGATCAGGGGATGTGGGCTGCAGGAAGCCAGGTGAAACCAACACGAAATGAGAAACCCCACAACAAGAAGTTTGAACCAACGAGAACCCGGTCATGAGGGTTTCCGAATGTTTGATTCTGCTAGATGCGTGATTTCCCTTGAAAGTCGCTCGTACGACTCCCTTGGGTTGTTGTGCTTTCGAAATGGACGGGAGTGCAACCAATTAATCAAAGCGCGTCCCCTTGTCAGGCCCTAATGTGGTTTGTCTCCTGCTGGTTTCCCCTCAAATAGTTACCAACAGGGGGGCCACCATTTTCAGAAACCCTTTCCTCCTCAAAGCACTTCCTGCCATGTCACCATCCGCGAAAACTTGTTAAACAATGCAGGGCGCAACCTGGACGAATTCCCTCCGGGGGTTGGGATCGGATCGGACTGCGGAGGCTGGTTTTTTTTGGTCGCTTGCGAGCTGCTTCTTTGAGACACGGCTGAAAATTGCAAACAACTTTCCCAAAGGTGGAGATGTGTCAGAGAGCGAAAAAGCAACAACCCCAACAGGGTTCTGTTGTTGTTTGCTTTGTTTTTGGGTTGGGGGGTCTGAAAGGCTTGAACACCTGAACCAATCCGGCCGCCATCAAATGCATCGGATGCCGCTATACGGACGCCCGGAATGACCGTAATACCACTTGATGACAGCATGTTTGGCAACTAGACTCCTGCAAAAAGCACGCGGACCCAATTTTGTAGTATGAAGGTGGCATGTCAAACTGTGCCTTTTGTTTTTAGCGTGTGGCAATACTGTGGATGCACGAAATCCTGCACCACTAACCATGGGAAACCCATTGTTTGTTGGTTTTTGCAGGGGAATCGAATCATTCCAGGGTTTCCTGGGCGGTGCGAAATAGATTTCGTCCAAGCACAGTATTTGTTACTTTCCCTTTTGTCAAGCGGTAATCGCTTGTTACAAGTTGTGGGGTGCCTGGAGCTGATAAGCTGAGGTATCCAAGACGATGGCAAGATCTGCAGCCTGAAGCAGGTGGGAGTAGTTACAAGCCGGAAGTCAGTACCCTCCTATAGATGGATGCTCAATCTCCTTCACTTTTCAGCTAGCCCTTGGTTGGTGGTTTAGTTTGGATTTGGATTTGAACCCTGGTTCTTTGAGCCAGTAATGAGAAACCATCCCAGAAATCCACCAAACCACCAAGCAGAGAGAAGCTTTGCAGGAAATTCTGCAGAACGTGGGCACCGACATGATGGGCTTCTCGCAAGCTTCTAGCGTGCCTTGGCTGAGTCCTTCCACTCAACTCAGGGGCCCGCTCAGCCGAGAATTCTAGGGCTACCTTCCATTTCCATTCTTTCCAGGGATCCGGATCTTTTCAGGAAACCATCAAAAACCCTGGTTGAAAAAGCGATCGGTGTTTTAGAAGAACGATGGTTGAAGAGAATGGAAAAGGAATCAACCCCTGCAAAAAAAGGTCGCCGCCGCCTTTGCTTGATTTTCTCAACCCCTGGAGAGTCTATTTCGCAAGGGCCGGTGGATTGGCCGGATTGGTCCTGTTGGTTACGGAAGGTGTCCCCAAAGGGCAGCGTCTTGCTTTCAGAGCGGTGGATTTAGATTCGCCAACTGTGGGACATCCAAAGTCAAACTGCTTTGGACGAAATCTTGCACCACTTTGACACGCTTGAAACCATTGTGTTGGTATTTCCGTTGGGGAATCGAACATCATTCCAGGGTTTCTGAACGGTGGTGCGAGACTCACGGATTTCGGCAACCGTCCGCAGAGCGCGACGAGCGCTGAACCATGGAGGGCTTGCAGCGGCCCTCCAATGTCCGAGTTGATGTTGATCCCAGATGAATTCACCAACCTGTTTCTGAGAATATGCGGGTGGGGCCCCTCCTTAAAAGTGATAGAATAAACGGGACAGCCCCATATGAATAAACAGGGGGTTGTGAATCTGGGGTCAACATTACCCTCTTTTCGAGGCACCATGTCTCAACAGCATTTGGGTCGCCCGGCCTTCGGTCCCAAAAAGCAAGCTGGCTTTGTGAATCTGGAGTCCCTATATTTCCGCTGGTGGTCTTAAACATGACCTTTCGGCCCAGTAAAGGGCGATGTTTTCAGTGGGAATCCGGTCGAGTCGGAGACTTGTTGCCTGAACCATGCCGATTGAATCTCTGGAGCTGGAGTTGCGCAACATCTCAGTGAAGGGCGGCGCAGAGTTCCAGTTGCCCCAGCGCTTTACCGTCAAACAAATCGTTGGGCGAGGCGGGGTGTTTGCAACACGTGGCGAAAACAGCCAGCCTTCGGTCCCCAAAATTTATTGGCAAGCCAAAGGGTCTCTGTCAAAGGGGAACCCCACAATGGTGTGGTTTTGCATTTGGCGTCGCCAAAAACAGCCAAGCTGAGATGCCCTCAAAAGGCCACACCCAACAGGAGGTTGTTTGAACCACAGTTTGAAGCTGTAAGTTGCATCGCCCACTCCTTTTCAGGCTTCTTCGGAGTCGTTTGCTCTGGGAAGGATGAAGAGACCGGAGCTCCTGTCGCCATCAAGAAGCTGGACCGAGCCTTTGATGATCTGAGCTCTGCAAAGCAAGCGCTTCGGGAGCTGAAGATCTTGCGGCACTTGAGACATGAGACTCACTTGCAAGCCTCGGCTTCCGCATCTAGGTCCCCCGCCCGTTTCTTTTTTGGGGGAGGGTCCCCTACTAAAATAGAGAAAAGAAAGGGTACCCTTATTCTAACCTCTCTCCTGGAGGACCTAGATGTGCTCAAGCATTTTGTTCTGTTGGCATTAAAGGGAATCTATCCTTACTGGAAATATGCTTCGTTGTCCAGGGGGCTTAAGCAAACGGAAGTTGCAGTTTCTAGCCTTTTCGGTCTATGTTTAGTCATAGCCCCAACTTTTCTTTCTGAGCCACTGGCCAAGTGAGGAGAATATCATCGATCTCAGGTACCTGTTTGTGGCCGGTTCAAAGTCCAACTTCGAGGATATTTATATTATCTCGGGACTTATGGAAACGGATATGGCCTCGATTCTCCGGAGCCCCCACCGGCTTTCGGATGAGCATTGTCAGTTCTTCCTGTACCAGATCCTCCGGGGTCTGAAGTACGTGCATTCGGCTGGTCTGGTGCATGGAAGCCTCAAACCCCGGATCTTGCTGGTGAACAGCAACTGCGATCTCAAGATTTCCGACTTCTGGGTCTACCGGCCCCCTGAGGAGCGCGTTTGCAATCGCTGGTACGTAGCGCCGGAAGTGCTCTGCTCCTTGGAAGCCGGTGCTGCAATTGACATGTGGGCGCTGGGACTGATCTTTGCGGAGATGGTGACACGCAAACCCTTGCTGCCTGGCAACAGCGTTGTGCATCAGCTCCAATTGATTATCCGCCTTATTGGCTTTCCAGAGGCCGACATCCTCTCCAGGATTCATTGCCAGACTTAGCTTACTGTTTGCCAACGCTTAAAGGCTCTTTGGAGTTTTAACAAATTTTCCCACAGGTTGTCACTTCTTATGGATTCTGGGCAAGGATCAATGAGAAGCCTCGGAGATTCATGGAGTCCTTGCCCAAAATCTGCGGGCCTGCGCTCTACGAGGCGCTTCGGCCGTACGAGGCGGTCGCCAGCGTCATGGAGCTTTTAGACTCCCTTCTTCAGTTTGATCCAGATCACCGCTTGAATGCCGAACAAGCACTCGCTTTGCCATACTTTGAGCCACGGCCAAAGCAAAGCACACTTGCTGCGCTGTTGTTTTTTTTGTTTTCCGGTTTTTGCGTCAGCGTTCCTTGCCAGCACCAACTTTTGCAGGGTCGACTCCATTATTTGGGCCAGGAGCAACTGCACTGTCCGCAGGATGAGCCATCCAGTTCGCCCATAGACCCCAATGACTTTGAGTTTGAACGAAGGAAAATTGACTTGGTAGCGCTTCGGGAGGAAATATTTCTGGAGGCGCTCCATTACCATCCAGACGTGCAACGACGGTACTTGCAAGAGCTAGCGGAGTACGGCACATCTTATGATATCACAAAGTACCGCTTGTTGGCTCCGGACGAGCCGCACTATGACGACTGACGATTCAGAGCGACTCCCGACTGACCGACGTGGGCTACACCGAGATCCCTTTGAAGCGAACGCGCCGAAGCTTAAGCTCAACAAAGCACCGCTTCCAAGTGTGGTGTTTGAAGATTGAACGGGAGTGTGCAGTCTGCAAAGACATGATGACAAGGAGATGAAGATCCTACCAGCACGCGCCAGTGGACTGCTTTGTTCCATGCTCAAAACCCTGAGTGATGCCAAAAAAGCAGGCGCGGGCACGGTAGGGGGCGGTAGCGGATTTTTCAGGTTGGTGAAGCAAAACAACTAGCACGTGGACCATGACTGACGGACCGTTAAATGACCGTCTCTGAATCCGAAGCAATTGCGATTATACATACCACAGAATTATGTGTATATATATATATATGGCTGTGGCTCAAAAAACCGGTACCAACATGGAACCCTGGTAAGTGGAAACAAGGACCAAACCCTGCGTAACCCCTCCTGTTCAGTTTTGAGCCACACCCATATATATATATATATAAGAGGCTTGAGCCAAGTTATGAGCATTGCGGGGCCTTCAAACCTCCAAGACCCACTGCAGATACCCGGAGAAGTAGCAGGCTTCTGGGCAGCATCTTCTGGGCGATCAAAGACGCGCTGGTTGCGCCCACGTTTCAGGTCCAAACCCCAGCGCTACTGGTCAAGGTTCATCGAGCTGGACATTGTAGCCGAAACCTGTACCACAGTATTGACCCCAGATTCATCAATCGAAAAACAAAGATGGAAGATTCGAAGATTCGTCTGGTTTTATCCCTCGTGTTTCGCGCGTCTGATTCTTACCCTCATGCCCGGGCTCCGTAACGATCCCCTAGCTTCCGGTGCCAAACCAAACGGTTTTCGGTATGTGTATGGCACCCGGGATGGTCCCTTGAAAAGGTCCTGTAAACATGTGAGGTCCATTCAACTTGCCAAGAAATTAGTATCATGTTCATGGCAGATAGGTGGTTCCAGAGACAAGGGCTCAATTGAGCAGCTCCCATTGGCTGTTTTGGCGGGGGTTCTACCTGGCTTTTTACAAGCAGTATGGCTTATAGACAGCACTACCATGTTTGGGCGCTCGAGTGGCTATGAGTGTTAATAGCGAACCGCCTGAAACGTCCTACATGATGTCCACCGAACCTAAACGATGTCCACCAAACCTAAATTTGATGTTCAGCAAACCTAATGTTCACGTCCACCAAAGGGCCCAGTCAGTTGAGAAGTCCATGGCCAATGCGCCGAGGTGAACTGCTACAACCTCCCCCATGCGCAGCTGCACTGCAAAGGCATACGGCAGCTTTGGGAAGTCCTGGGCTCGTTTTTTGAGGATGCCAGTTTCCTCTTAAGGTTTAAAGGAGCTGGGAATACCGAGAGGCTACTTGGGGATTGTTGAGAGAATGCAAAGGGAACACTGAGGGAAACTAGAGAGTATACCAAGATAACACCAAGGGAATACTGAATACCAAGGGGCTAACAGGGGACTCCTTGGCATTACTAAAGGAAGCAGGATAATAATTATAATAGAATACTCAGACAATACTAGGGGAATACCCATAGAATCTTAAAGGACACTGGGCAAGATTAGGAGAATACTAGGAGAACACGGGAATGCTGAGAAGAATACTGAGGGAATATTAGTGGGATACTGCGGGAACCCTGAAGAAATACTAGAGAATATTAGGATTGTACTGAGCAAATACTGGCGATGAACCAAGAAAATGCTAAAGGAATAGTAATTAGGGCACTATTGGGGAGGGAGAATACTGAGAGAATACTTGCAGGGAATACAATTGGAATCATTGAAGAATACAAATTGCTAGAAAAAATGGGAGAGGAAAAATGCTTGCAGTGGATGGCCTTCCCCAAAAAAGTTTCAAACACCGCACGTGAGAGTAAAAGTGCATCCATCCATGCCAAGGCGGAAACAAGGCTAATGGCAAAAACACAGGCCCCATGGCGGCCTGCTCTCTTTTTTTTGGGGTCGCTATTTTAGGAAACCTTCCCAGTGGCTTTCTTTTCCCAGATGCAAGGGTGTCAACATGCTTTGCCCTCAGAAGGCACTTGCACTCTCTGAAAGCACCCATACGGCGGGAAGTAGGCGGGTTTTACCCAACATCCCATGGTAAAGAGCAAGCAGACTGTCAACTCTAGCCCTCGTCTACGATTCTATTGCAATTCTTCATTCATACCTGAAGTCAACGATGCTCAGAAAATAGTGTGTGCAATTAAGGCAAAGAAAGGGACACCTCCAAAACATGGCAGTTTTCCGTGTTGCTTAGTATTTTCCTGGTATTCACCCATGGCCTGGCATTCCCCTTCATTCCCCGAATGTTTCGCTATTCCTTCAGTACTCTCCCACCCCTAGTAGTTGTAGTGTCCTTGCATTCCTTATCATTGCCCCAGTAATCCTTAGTATTTGCTTGTTTTCCCGCAACATTTTCCCAGTACTCCCCTGGTATTCTCCAAGTATTATCCTAGTCTTCCCTTTGTATTCCCCCGGTATTCCCCCATTATCCATGCTGTTTTCCTAGTATTTGTGTTAGCGTTCTTTATCTTAGTACTCCGTTAGTATTATTTTGCTATTCCATGTGAATCTCTCTATTTTCTCCTTTAAAACTTCCCCTAGCATTCCCCTATTCCTTTAGTATTCTTCTACCCCTAGTGTTCCTCAGCACTCCCACAGTTTTTCCTACATATTCCGCAAGCATTTCCCTCAGTATTTTCCAATTGTTTTCCTAGCATTCAGTCTTAGTACTTCCCAAGCATTTCTCTTAGTGTTCCTAGTATTCCCCTATTCCTTCAGCATTCTCTTACCCCTAGTCTCTGAGCTTTTGTCTGCCAGATTGTTGTTTTTTGGTTTTCCCAAAATTTGACTGCGCTACAAAAACGCAGGCCCCATGGCGGCCCCTTCTGAAAGAAAATGGGCTTCCTCTTGGCTTCCTTTCTCCAACAGGTCCCACCTATAGATGCAGATGGGTAGGTGACGGTAGGTGGGTTGCAGTTTCCTGCTCCCTCATACACGAAATGAGGGTAGTTTGTGTTGAAGTTGGTTGTATTTTGTTGTTGGCTGTGTGCCTTTTTTTGACAGGACGCCAAGAACAACAATCATCGGTTCCGAACTCTAAGAGCAGCCCATGGCTGCCCCATTCAGAGACACATCCGATGGTGAACACTGGCCGTAGGCCGAAAGGCGTCCATGTTTGTTGACGTGCAACTCGTGAGGTTGTCTCCAAAGGACCCCCAAAATGCTTTGCTTAGCTTCCCCTTGACCTCGATTTAAAGGAACCAAAAAGGGTTGCCGCCCCCCGCTTGTGTCCAAGGATGTTGTCTCAACCTTTGTGCGGCTTGACCGCGCGCCCGTCAGACGCACGAGCAGCCTTGGGACCTGACGTGGGGTCTGCACCTCTTTTGGCAGGCTCTCAAACGAGCTCACCATGAAGGTCCTTTACTTGATCATCGTTTTTTTAGATGTTTTTTGGGTAGAAATCTGTTGGAAGGTGACGTGTCAAGCCAAGCTGTGCCTCGGTAAGACGTCATAGGCCTCCTTCAATTGGAGTTTGGTGCCCCATGTTCAATTGACGCCTGACCCGGAGACGCCAAAGCCAGACGATGTTCGGACCACAGAGCTTTGAACACCCCAACCTCGAGGAGTGTTTTTCAGCGCTCTTTGATGGGGTTTGCCGTTCAAATCGAAAGCCAACAAACAGGTGCTTGCTTTCCCATGGCAAACGCGATGCAACGAGTGACCTCACCCACGGGTTAAGACTGGGCCGCAGGCGTCATCACGAACCTGCCGTGCAACACCTGGATGCGAGCTTCTTGCATGCAGCTCATATTGACCGGTGCGCATACATGCGTCCCAATATGTCCCATGCATTGGTTGCCGCGTTCAACTGAGCCAGAGTCAAAATCCGGGTAGACGAAGGCTAGTAAGGGATAGTCCCAACCATACATGGGCGCAGCCGCCTTTTCAATTATTTACATTGTTCTGTGTAGACCATTTTAATACCGATCGGTTTTGACTCTGAATCAAATGAGTTTCCTTTTGATCTTGAAAGGTGACATCTGAGGAAGCCTGGCAGGCATATTTCGCGAGTGAGACATCAGCCTTTCTGGGACCTCCGCCCAACAAATCAATCCTGACTGAGCTGCAGACCGTCCAACATGGACCTGGATTTGTTTGAGATGGTGGACAGAGCATTGTTGCTTAACATTCGAGACCCGCATCGCCACGGGGCGGCTTTTTGTCCCGTCAAGGACCAGAGGGGCCACCCAATTTTGCCATGTCCTCTTGGGGAATCCGACGCAATTTGTGTTTGGGGTAACATGTGTTGGGTAGACTGATTATTAAATATCAGGCCCAAAGCTTCTGAGCTCTGACTCACTTCTTCTTGTGAACTGCCTTGTTTTTACGCATGCGGCTTTGCAGCCGTTGAAGGGACGTATCAGTCGCATGTTTGTCGGAAATCGTGCAATCATCAAGGCAAGTTGTGGTCAGCCATGATTGACCTAACGTCCTCAGTCTTTCTAGGATTCCGAACAAGCATCAGAACCATACTCCAAAGTGAACCAAAGCCAACAATATCAGCTAGCAACATGTGTCCCAGCGAGAACCTAACAGAAAGCACCAAGCCCAGGCTTCGGGGAACGACCCCCCGCCCGCCCGAGGCTTCCCGGAGTGCTTTTTTTTTTTTTTTTTTTTTTCGGTGGCTTCCGCGAAGTGAAGAGGGGTCGCATGCAAACATGTACCTAGGCGGTCAAGAGCTTTCAAGGTGTTTCTTTGGACAAAAGCATCTCCTAAGTATTGGTAATCCAGAAAGTTCTCAACATCAAGTTGGCAACGGACAAGGACTCCTAGTTTCCGACTTTACTTCAAATATCCTCTCTTTTGGTTCTATTCACCTGACATCCTCCAACTTACCCTTGGTCGTGTAACGGGAAAGTCCCCATCAACGGGAGTGGCGCTCGCCTCCGAGGCGCCCGGAGACTTCGAAGGCGCCTTCATTATGGAGGCCATCATGGAGCAGGCAGAGTTGGGTTCGAGTTTTGTGGGTTTCGAGTGGGGAGGAGAGGAGGACCTGCCTGGAAACCCAATGCCGGAAGCAAATACGGGAGCCATCCCAAAAACGTGGCCATAAGGGAGGACACTGGAAACCCATATGGCGGTGGCTCATAATTGAAGAGCTATACACAGGTTTTAGGCTTTGGTTCCGTTTGCCAAGGGTGCCATATTGGTACATGTTTTTGAGCCACAGCCATATGTGCCGATCCAAATACGGGTGTCCAACAAACATGGCTTAACAAGGCTCTCCAGGTGTGGGAGTTTGCAACGATTTGGTTTCGTTCGATTCCACGGCAGAACAGGCGCGAGTTTTTGTACCATGGTCCTTGGCTATCCAATTATCATTTGAGGTGTTGGAGCTATTGTGGAATTTGTAGCGGCTGTGATATTGGTTGGAGCTGTCCGTTGGTTTGGTTTATAGGAAAGAAAAACAAATAAAAGCTATTTTGGATGGGTTGGGTTCATTTTGAGACAAACTCATATGGTTGAAATATTGCGAATGCCATCCTTGTGCTGTTTTCGAGTGTTCGCCTGTTGGAGTTGTAAAGGGGAACGTAAAGGAATACCCATTTCGGAGGTCCTCGTTCGACTCGTATGTGGCAGTGTTTGGAAGCCCCATAGTTTACCACATGTTCCCCCGGATTTTGGTGGGATCTCGTCCGATCTTCACTGGGCCAAAAACAAAACCTGGATTTTTTGGCCGTCAGCATTTGCTTAGTTCCCAGCAGAACGTCGCCATTTGCCTAAGCCAACTGAATGACAAATCACCTTGCAGGAAGCGTTCATTTGCTCAAGGCGAAGTTTTATGTAAAACCCCGTTGACTTCTCGGGGAAATCCTCGCCGATACACAGGTGTTGGGTGTGACACCTGAAAGCAACCGTGACGGTTGACTCGTGGCCCAACCTGGGAATCGACATGAATGGTTTGGAGTTGTTCAAAGGACACAGATCCACTATCTGTTCTGTTTTCCTGCAACTTTACGGAAGGGGAAAAACGCCTGGATGGTTCCGAATGTTTCAAAAAATCAGGAAACCCTTGGACTCCCCTCAAGACCCCCCCGGAAGAAAACCCCAAGACACCTGGGGGGTGTTCCCTCTCAAATCGGAGAACTTCATCACGAAGTCAGGTGGCGCGCGCCGTGGGGCGAGAGCCGGTGGAGGTCCAGGAGTTGAATCTGGATGAGGCCATGCAGAAGGCGGAGACATCGAGACCGAGACCGACCGCGAGAGCCCAAAAAACCGCGAAGTGAAGTTGAAGAGATGTGGGTATGGGTCAAAATTAAACCACCAGGATATGGACCGCAGGTTTTAGTCCATGTTTCCATTTACCAGGGTTTCATTTTGGGTACATACTTTTGACCCACAGCCATGTGTGTAATGTTGACCCCATAGGGGGGTCATGGGTGTAGCGGGGAATCATTACTTTTGGAGGGGAACACCCCCTATTGGTAAACTGGGGGTTGATTAATATGGGGTCAAGATAAACAACAAATCCGATTCGAAATCTTAATTCAAGACATATGGATTTGTGTTCTTTTTGGGTCTTTGGTAAGGGATTTTTGGACTTTAACGTTGGTTGAAACTGGTGGGATTTTCCGAGTTGGACCCACAAAAAAGTGATGCACTTTTGCAGGGCGGGTCAACAGCAACCGAGTTTCCTTTTTGGTCTCAAGAAACTGGACGGAATCCCCAAACTGGATGGTTTGAAAAGTTTTGGTTTCCCTTGCGCCAACCCAAAATGTGCAGGTGTGAGTGAGTGTAAGTGTACGTGGAAGTGTGTGCGTGTGTGAACAGTGCCTTTGCTGCATTTCTTGGGTGTGCCTTTTATCGAGGCTACTTTTGGAGCTGTTTTTTCGATGGAATCCAGATGGACACCACCCATTTTGTGTGTTCCCCCCTTGCCAGATGCCTTCCTCTTCTTTTTGTTTGAAGCGTTGTTTTGGCAGAGCCCCCGGACAAAAACGACCAAGATGTCCATTTGCTTTGTTGTTTTTGAGGGGT